CAATATTCTTATCTATTTCATTGTTATGCCACAAAATCATACCTGATAAGTAGGTAAGTAGAATACTTCTTCTCTAATTATTCGCCGTAAGATATGAATCTAATATTTAATCACCTACTTCTGTTCTTCTATTCTGAAAACTAAAAATCTGATGTGTCCAACACATGACTTTCCTATCTAATTATTACAGGCTAATCCGGTTATTTTGTACAACCTATTGTAGCACCTGTGTAAATGTTTAGAAGATAAACTAAATATATACATTTTCCACATACTTCTAAATGGAACCATTTTTTTTATATATATTCATTGCTAATGAAAATACTGAAAAATTAAAATTTTACACTTTTCCTCCAATTCTAATAAGCTCAACTCAGGCCGAAATAAAGCGTAACGAGATTCTTACTTTTGAAAATAGGATTTTTATTAAGGGATTGTAACTGATCTAGTATTCGGATGTTATATAAACAACTGAAACTTAGATTGCTCTTCATTCAAAATTTTCAAAAAATAAATAGAAGACACATTAAAAAAATTAAAAGCCGGCTTGAACTCGTCCATCTTCAAAAAATTATTACGCGTATATTTTCATAAATATCAACAAAACGAAAGAAGAGCAGACTTTATTTATATGTTCTTAAAATGTCTTTAAAATTTCAATTCATTTGATGCGTTAGAATTGCCACAATTCCATTATAAAAATGCATTGTTTTAAATGCAAAATCCAAGCGTATAATCTTCTATCCTTCACGTGCTTTTTTTTGTCATGGAGACGCGGCGGCCAGCAACAAGAAGTGATCCTGAGGCTTGGGCGCCATGAGTGCACGTGTTTCTGTGTGTATATGTTACGGGTAGTGTTCTAAATTTGGCACTGACGATATTGACCAGACACTAACGTCAGCAGAATGCCCAATCAAAAGAAGATTTACGAAAATGACCGGCAAATATCGTTAAAGACCGAAATATCATCTTTGACCGTAACATATATAATCTTATTTGTAGCTCAAAGAACTTTTGAACTTTGAATTACTTTAAATTTGGTACAAAATTCATCTAAAAATGGTCAAAAATTTTAAAAAATTGTGTGTGTGTGTGTGTGTGTGTGTGTGTGTGTGTGTGTGTGTGTGTGTGTGTGTGTGTGTGTGTGTGTGTGTGTGTGTGTGTGTGTGTGTGTGTGTGTGTGTGTGTGTGTGTGTGTGTGTGTGTGTGTGTGTGTGTGTGTGTGTGTGTGTGTGTGTGTGTGTGTGTGTGTGTGTGTGTGTGTGTGTGTGTGTGTGTGTGTGTGTGTGTGTGTGTGTGTGTGTGTGTGTGTGTGTGTGTGTGTGTGTGTGTGTGTGTGTGTGTGTGTGTGTGTGTGTGTGTGTGTGTGTGTGTGTGTGTGTGTGTGTGTGTGTGTGTGTGTGTGTGTGTGTGTGTGTGTGTGTGTGTGTGTGTGTGTGTGTGTGTGTGTGTGTGTGTGTGTGTGTGTGTGTGTGTGTGTGTGTGTGTGTGTGTGTGTGTGTGTGTGTGTGTGTGTGTGTGTGTGTGTGTGTGTGTGTGTGTGTGTGTGTGTGTGTGTGTGTGTGTGTGTGTGTGTGTGTGTGTGTGTGTGTGTGTGTGTGTGTGTGTGTGTGTGTGTGTGTGTGTGTGTGTGTGTGTGTGTGTGTGTGTGTGTGTGTGTGTGTGTGTGTGTGTGTGTGTGTGTGTGTGTGTGTGTGTGTGTGTGTGTGTGTGTGTGTGTGTGTGTGTGTGTGTGTGTGTGTGTGTGTGTGTGTGTGTGTGTGTGTGTGTGTGTGTGTGTGTGTGTGTGTGTGTGTGTGTGTGTGTGTGTGTGTGTGTGTGTGTGTGTGTGTGTGTGTGTGTGTGTGTGTGTGTGTGTGTGTGTGTGTGTGTGTGTGTGTGTGTGTGTGTGTGTGTGTGTGTGTGTGTGTGTGTGTGTGTGTGTGTGTGTGTGTGTGTGTGTGTGTGTGTGTGTGTGTGTGTGTGTGTGTGTGTGTGTGTGTGTGTGTGTGTGTGTGTCTATCCACCATAATTCATGAATCGATACAAAGAAAAACATCAAATTTTAAACTTAAGTTTTATTCCGGCGTCCAATGAACGGAACATCTGGGGGGGGGTACTTTATGGGTGGTCATTTTAATATTTTATGGAATATATCTGTTATTTACGTTTAAAGAAGAAAATTATTTAAATAAAAGTTACTTACAATATTATCAATATTTTTTGTTTTATACAAAATTTTCCTAAAATGGTACGTATTCGAGAAATTTGACAAAATGTGCAAAATTATGATTTTTAAGAAAATTGTTAAACTAAAGGTTGTTTGCGATATCGATCTCTATAATTTTTGTTTATACATGATTTTTCTAAAATGGACCGTAATGGAAAAATTGGAGATTGATGGTATTTTCGTTTTCAATAAATATCTATTGAAAAATGTTTTGAGGTAGATGTATGTGGAAAATGTATATATTTAGTTTATCCTCTAAACATTTATGGAGGTGCTGCAATAGGTTGTACAAAATAACCGGAAAAAGCCTATAATAACTAGATAGGAAAGTCATGTGTTGGACACATCAGATTTTTTAATTATATTTTTGTAACCTAAAAGATAATGTAATTGTTTGCTTCCCGACGGATCAGTTGAAACTAAATCTTCTTTCACTTGGTATTTACATGCATGTCTGCGCGCTCTTTTTTGTTGGCGTGACTGGTATTAGGCGGATCCTAGATAATGCTCTTTTTCGTCCTTTCTATTGAAGTTCTTTTGATGTTTGTGTATTTCTATAGCTTCCAAGTGCAATCTGGTCGAGTAATGTCTGGATGTTGCTAGTTTTGGTGAAAATAAATACAATTTTTGTTCAATAGCTTCATTTAAATGCTATAAAACCATTTTCATTCCGTCTACCGCACTCAAGTCGCCATTTTCGTTACATTTTTCCATCACTCAAAGTGCGTTCATCGGTCATGTCGAAAAATAGTGTTTATGTTGTCTACTTTATCTCGATATAATGAAATGATTCTTATGTTAAGTAAGTCTAATTTTTTACAACTTTGAGTATTGTCTTAAAAAAGGAAGCAATTATGACATATCACTGAAATGTGGGTGAAAATCTGCATACATTAAGAAAAATTTTAAAAATTATTGATTGATGTTGGTTTCTAAGGGATGGTTTGACAAGATTTGAGATCATCTTGTACAATAATGTTTCGTCACATATATACATACAGTGTCGCATAAAAGTGGGGGGGGGGTGCTATTGGGGGTAATTATACCCCCTCAACAAGTTTTAAACCTTATTGGAGATACATACTAAAAATGTATTATTATCAGAATTAGTCTTAAATACTTAAACTCTGAATACGCTAACGTATATACAATATTATTTCAAAATTAAACCAGATAACTTAGGTACTAGCTGGCCAGAACTTTAAGGGACAGCATAGATAGGTATTTATAATAAATATAAATTATGGTACTTTCTTAATTTTATATCCTGTTATCTACAAATTACATTAACTCAATTTGATATTTTTAATTTGTTCATTGTTCACAGAGAGCTTTCGTTAATTGATGAATTCTAATATAGGAACATGGACCCTTAAAGAGCTTACTTACCTAGATACAGGGTGTTAAATATTTGAAATCAAAATTAAAAATTTGCCATAAATCAAAACGCCTTTGAATATTAATTTCAAATTTGGCGACCAATATGCTCTTTAATAAAGTAATATTTTGACATAAACTTACTATTAAAAATTTTTAACCACTGACGAGCTATCAAGGTTAATGGTAATTTTTCCCCCTATTTTTTGCGCCACTGGACAAAATATTATTTCTTATTTTTTATTTTTTTAAATTCTCTGTTCATTTTTAGTAAATAAAAAGTGAACGGATTATTGACCGCAAAAATTTTCTCCTAAACAAAGGTTCTTAATGTGTTTAATCACTTGTTAAGGGCTTAATATTTCTTAATTCTAATCTAGTAAGCACGTGTCAAATTTTTAATAGTTTGTGTTTTTGACAAGATCTTGGTAAATCAAATTTGAAAAAATATTTAAAGAATTTTCTGTTTTGAATTTTGATTTAAAATTTTTAATACCCTGTATCTCGGTAACTAAGATCTTTAGGATATCATGTTCCTATCAAAATTCATCAATTAACCCTGTATAAAATTTTACAATACAGTAAATGCAACTCTAATGATATTTTAAAAGTTTAAAAACTTCTGGTGGCATCTACGTACAAATATCAGAACTAACTGAGAAGTTACCTAGGAATCTGTGCTACAAATATGTTCTGCCATTTGACGGTAGATGGAAACAATAATGAAAACCTACGATCAATAAAAAACTATTTAAACTGTAAATACCTATAATCGAAATACTTTTTATTTGATTTATTTTGTAAAGATAAGCACAAACCTAAATAAAACGATTTTCGAAAAACAGAACAGAAAAGGCAGTTACAGTTTTTTTTTCAAGCATCATTTTAATATCTTGTATATAGATGTCGCCTAGAAAAAACAACTTTCTTCGTCTTTAGCTAACTGAAGTTCCCAAATCAAATACTAGATGGCACACAATCTGTTTCTAAATTAATATCAATTCGCCATTTTCGATACTATATTATTTAAAATAAACTTATTTTAAATTCACCGTGTATTATAATATATCAAATAGAGAAAAGTTCGTACAAATTGACAATGTTAATAATAACATACAAATTGGTGTAACACAAGTTACCTTTTTGAGACCTGTTCTTTTTACACCCGCTAAAATTATTAGTTTAGACGATGCCGATGATACTTCCGCTCTGTACTCTCTATCTTCATGGACGTAACTGAAATAAAAAGTAAATAGTGATTTCCCTAAAAGTTTATTAGGACTCATCAGCAAGAAATAGATATTTCTTTTTGTGTATTAATTATTAAAAAAAGTAACATATTTAGTTGACAAATTTATTCTTGTTTTAAAATAGAGATAAAGGTATATCATATACAATTTACTAAAGGCGCAAAAAAACGTATAAAATTAAATTATAAATATATTTCTTATTCACCATCTTCATAAATTTTGTAAGCTCCAAACGGCTTGTTATTATGAAAATCATTTGACGCTTGATAGGCGTAGATGCCTTTTCCTGGTCCATACAATGGAACGTATCTTCCATACTGCGACAACAATAGAGCCAAAAACGGATTAATAGGAGGTAAATCTGGATGATTTGGCGGTAAGTTTTTCGCTCTCGAATGGAGATTTGTACTTAAAATTAAAGCTTCTAGTAACGGATTTTCATGTGAAAAAGTACCTACAAAAAATAAGAGATTTTAAAAGATGTTAAGAGATGTTAAAAGATGTTAAGAGATGTTAAGAGATGTTAAGAGATGTTAAGAGATGTTAAGAGATGTTAAGAGATGTTAAGAGATGTTAAGAGATGTTAAGAGATGTTAAGAGATGTTAAGAGATGTTAAGAGATGTTAAGAGATGTTAAGAGATATTAAGAGATGTTAAGAGATGTTAAGAGATGTTAAGAGATGTTAAGAGATGTAAGAGATGTTAAGAGATGTTAAGAGATGTTAAGAGATGTTAAGAGATGTTAAGAGATGTTAAGAGATGATAAGAGTTGTTAAGAGTGGTTAAGAGATGTTAAGTGATGTTAAGAGATGTTAAGAGATGTTAAGAGATGTTAAGAGATGTTAAGAGATGTTAAGAGATGTTAAGATATGTTAAGAGATGTTAAGAGATGTTAAGAGATGTTAAGAGATGTTAAAAGATGTTAAGAGATGTTAAGAGATGTTAAGAGATGTTAAGAGATGTTAAGAGATGTTAAGAGATGTTAAGAGATGTTAAGAGATGTTAAGAGATGTTAAGAGATGTTAAGAGATGTTAAGAGATGTTAAGAGATGTTAAGAGGTGTTAAGAGATGTTAAGAGATGTTAAGAGATGTTAAGAGATGTTAAGAGATGTTAAGAGATGTTAAGAGATGTTAAGAGATGTTAAGAGATGTTAAGAGATGTTAAGAGATGTTAAGAGATGTTAAGAGATGTTAAGAGATGTTAAGAGATGTTAAGAGATGTTAAGAGATGTTAAGAGATGTTAAGAGATGTTAAGAGACGTTAAGAGATGTTAAGAGATGTTAAGAGACGTTAAGAGATGTTAAGAAATGTTAAGAAATGTTAAGAAATGTTAAGAGATGATAACCCATACAGCACACATTATTTCAGAAACGTTTCAGAAATATTTCAAATGTTTCAAACATATAACATTTCAAGCACAAGTTTCTGAAATATTTCTGAAATATTTTAAACAGGGTATACATGTTACACAAAAGGTTACTAAATGGGTTATGTTGTAAAAGGCCAACAATTAATGAAGAATTTCTGATTTATAAGAAGAAGATGGGATGTGTAGTTATTTTATTTTATCATGTCCCTGTCCAGCTGCCAACTAGAATAATTATAGATTTGATATTTAATATTTTTCATATTCATGTGTTGTGAACTTGTTATATGGGAAGCAGAATAAGTCTTTAGAAATTAAGGTGAGAACTACATAAATAATGGTGGACCTTTATGTTTTATTTAGACATGAGTATTGTTTTATTATAGCTAATTTAAAACAATATTAATAAAACTATTGTTAACCAAATAATTTGTATAAATCGTTTTTAAATACCTATATTTTGGTGGAAATGAAGCAATTCATTTCTATATTTTATGAAATATTCTCTAAAATATATTTATTTATTTGTTTGTTTGTTTGTTTGTTTAAGAATTAATGTGTGAGTTTTGTGTATTTTAAATAAACATGTATATTTTTAAATGTCTTTTTTTAGTCTAATAAAATATATAAAAAAAACTAAAATACATTTCTGAAATATTACTATTTAATTTCTAATTTCTAAAAGATTTCTAAATTTCATTTCAAAAATATTACTGTGAAATATTATATTTAGAAGACATTTTTACGTTTCAGGCCTATTTCAGAAATGTGTCTGAGATGCTTCGTAATATTTATACAACATTGCAAATGTTTCAATGTAACATTGTTGAAATATTTCCGAATGCGTTTGTGAGGGCATGGGAAAAGACGTTAAGAGATGTCAAGATATGTTAAGAGATGAAGAGTTACATTTTTTCTTAAAAAAAGTTTAACAAGTACTTACCCTTACTGTGAGCATATTTATTTTTAGTTATTTCTTCATTTAGTTCATCAGTATAAGGTCCTATTGGTTTTATATATTTGTAGCTAAAGTTACTATCTGAAACTTCTATATCTTGATTACTAAATTTTTCTTTTTTTGGAATTTGTTTCGTGCAAACCAGACTTAAATTCATCAATATCCAAAAGAGCAATAACTGGAAGAAAAACAAAATTTAAGCATTATAATTAAATAGGAATTTACAAATTTTACAGTATCTAGATTCAAGAGTACCTATACTTAATAAATGCATTTACCAGCTTATATAATTAAAAAAAAAAGAAACCTCGACGTCTTTACCTCAAATTTTTTTAACATTGTTTACAAGCAGCTACTTTTGGCCTCTATGGACCATCATATGGCCTAAAAATATGGGTTACAAAATATCTGTTACCGCAAATTATAATTTTTTTTATACAAGATGTCTCCAAAAGGTTTAGGACACGATACAGCAATTGGTCGAGGAGTTCTAATTGGAAACGGGTTGGTTAGGTCTGCTAAAAAAGAACAACGGTACCAAGTCAACGATAAGTGGGCCTCTATTCAAGAAATATATGATTTTGCTTTTAAAGAATTTATAGGTGCATATGGAGGTACAGGAAAAGGAAGATAGGGTGGGTACAAAATCTGCTTACGTTTTCAAAATACTACTCGCTAGAGCAGTATCAATGACAAGAATTGGTATTTTTTTTTTAGTTTTTGATCAGAATATTAGAATCGATTACGATTACCTAATAAACTTTATTTTAAATTTTGATGAATTCATGGATGTATTTAAAATTCATATTTTTGATATTGGAAGAAAAAAATTAATGTACTAGGTCAATCTTGCTCTTTTTGCCAAAGTCATTTGATCTTCATCGTCCGATTCTTGATTAAAACGGTTTTCTTGCTCATGTTTTTCGGTCATTTCCTCGCAATTATTAAAGTCCTCTGGTATTTGAATGTCCAGGTTGAAGCAAAGACTTGGTTGCTTGATTTTAGTTGAAATATCTTCCGAGTCACTACAATCTTCGGAAATTTTGTCAAAATTCAAACAACTGTCTGAGCCATAACACATTGTACATCGCATACCATGTTGTCGACACCCGCATCTCTTAAATTCACATCCAAACGTACATTCAAAAATTTTGCATTAGTGGAATTTAATTGATTTAATAGTACCAAAAGATCAATATCTTGGCCAACAATAAAAACATTTTTTAAATTTGATGATTTCTGTTACTACTTTTAATATCTTATTTTTATCGGTGATTTCTATTGCTGTATTAATAACTAATGAATCGGCATCTTCTACTGCTTGATAAATTGTGTATCCATTAATTCTAAATGCTTTTGACAACTCTTTTATTAATTCATTTTTATTTTTATCATTTGACAAAAACTTCTCATGTAAAAATGCTATTTTTGTGTGGGGTTAAAAATTAAAAAAGGAACACTCGAAGATTTTTTCTCCTTGAGCATTCTGCTGTTTCTGTTGAATATGCAGTTTAGTTTTTATTATTACTTTTGTTGCACAAGCTGCTATTTTCTTATTTAATTTTTGCCCAAAAGGCGATCACAATTTATAGCTCATAGATCACTTTTTTGAATTCGGTTTCCACCAATGTTATTTCGAATACACCTTCAAACGTTGTGAACTAGAAAGATGGCATTCTTTTATTTTAAAAAATTTTGTATTCGTTCCTATAATTTTATAAATTGACTACACCTGAAGATGGAAAAATTTTTACTTTCCGAAACATATGTAGTGGGCTAAACAATAAAAATAAAAACGTTTGACTGATAAAACCAAGGAAAATTTTTATTTATGTAAAAGAAAAAATTGTCTTTTTGTTTTAAAAAAAATGAGCTTATTTAAGACAAAGGTATGATTTCATCAAATTTGATCAAAAATGTGATCTCTACAAAAGCTGTATATTTGTGCTTGATCTACAACTTTAAATTTTTGTTTTTGACGTCAACGTTTGCCGGAAATCCCTATAATACCATTTTCACCCCTTTTCAACCCCCTAAAACTTTACTTCAACCCCCACCCCAGGTTGCATTTAATTATTTTATTATAGGTCCTTCTACTATTTACACTTAAAGTCCTGTTTACATTTTGACGGTACTCCCGTTTTGCATAAAAAAGTGCGTGGTCCTTAAATATGAACATAGTACCTACCTTATTCGAGAAAAAAAACAAAACCGCTTAAAATACAATAAATTGAACTCTTTAATTTAAAGTGATTGGGCGTATACATTCATTCATTCTTTCTTTCATTCATTCATACATTCAATAAGAGTCTTACCTTTTATTAGTGAGGGATGGGTCTATGTGTTTTAAAAACACTTTTATTTTTAATACGATTTCCATGGTCTTATTTTACTATAATTAAAATACAGATAAGCAAATCATTTAAAATCGTATTAAAAATAAGGTCTTTTTAAAACCTATATTCCCAGCCTTCACTAAATTGACTTTTTTTATGCATTTTCAACCAATGTTGAAGTTTTGACTTAATGTATACACCCAATCACTGTAATTTAAAAGGTTCATGTTAACCTATTTTAAGCATTTCAGTTGTTTTTTTTTAGAATAAGGTACTATGTTCCTCTTAAGAGAAACAAATGTGTTGTTTATTGTAAAAGTAATACAACTTCATATTTTTTAAATACATAGTTTATTGTTTAATGCTATTATTTCTTATAATAAATTTTACTATAAGAGAGTAAATTCCAAGTTTTGCACTAGATTTTCCATTGATAGGTTAATTATTTATTATTGAAGTCAGCATAACAGTTGAAGTGAGTGGAAGTACAAATTTAAATGTGTTATAAACAACAAAAAAATTTAATACTAAATATTTTTTTTCCTCCACATCATTTTTCAAAAAGCTTGTTAATTCAAAATAATATTAAAGGACATAATTAACTTTTACAATGAACGACATAAATTATTTCTACTTTATAACATTCATTTAATAATACAGGTGCAACGTTTTTTAAGTGAATCTATTTTATTTAATTAATTGAGGCATTATAAATAAAATTTAAATAGTAAAAAATTACTGTTAATTTTAGATACATTTTAAATAGAAAAATAATAAAAATAAAACCAACCTTATTCATTCCGCAGCCGTAGACATAGACAGGGTCATAACAACTGAATTCCTAGCGTAATATACTAGCGATGTGATGTCGATGTAGAATTTGCAGACAATCTGGATTATCTGTTTGGTATGCTTAAGTGGAAAATCGTGTCCTCTCGAGGAAATGGTGTAATATCAGATGTTAATTTCACTCCCTGTACTCTGCACTTTCAATTTCGTTCGTACTTGTATCCGTACAACGTTTTTTCGTTAACAGTTAAGTAAAAGTGAGGGAAAAATCGTTTTTGGGATGGAACGTAATGAAGAAAGCAATTTAAATTAAAAGGGAAATTTGTTCCATTAGCGTACATGTTAATTTCGGCGAAACAGCGTAGATAATCTAATTTTTTAAAAGGGTCTGATGAGAAATCTTTTAATATGAAGTTTACGTCCAGTGGGGTCAAACAAATTTCACAATATACAGTGTGAAAATGTTCAACGTCTCTGGCATACGAGACAAAAGCATGCAGCATTAAACTCCTTATTTCAAAATTATTTTGGAATATACAGGGTATTCAATACTGTCGGTCTGGAGCAAACTTATGTTTTTTAATCACGTTTAAAATTTGAATATATAAATATAATATTAGGATGGTTGTTAAACTTAAGGCTGTTCCTTACTCAATTTTAAGGTAAACAGTTCATATAAACGTAGGTCCCAAATTGATTTATAATAATAATAGTAATGTTTATTTACTGAATAATAATAATAATAATAATAATGTTTATTTACTGAAATATACATTTATAAAAATACATTAATACATTCATACATATTATTAACGTGTTGAAATGTACAAAATAAGGTTTTCCTAAATATCTAGAAGGCGAAAATTGGCATCAAGTCGACACTTGGTGAACATTTTTATTGCAGCAAGAAATGCTGTTTACGCTTAAAAAAAATTAATTTGTCCAGTGGCGAACACAGGAGTAACTAATGAGATTTAATTTTAAAAATATACTCGATTATTTTTATTATTTTTTTTTGCCATTATGATTCTGCAATTAAAACTCTACAAAATTATAATCTTTGCAGTTTTTCGCCCATATTAACCGTTTTCAACATAAACGAAAAAACCAATAATATGCATAATATAGAGGGAAATTTAACGAAATTCAACTAAATTCGATCTAAAATCTTACTCTTTGCCTTCAAGAACAATTTATCAGTGACTTATTTATGCAGGAATCTTGATGCATACCACTGATCTGTATTATTTTACTGGATAGGATATAGCCTCCTAAAAAACGTTTCGAAAAATTGGCCGATTTGGGCAAATAATATGGCGGACCGGATGTTATATAACGTAACCTCTATTACCATTTGTCATCACATGTCATTTAATTGTGTCAACAAGCTACGATGAGATGTTTTTATTGTGGAAAACAAAGTAAAAAGAGTATGAAATAAACAATAAACGTTCATTCCTGAAGACACAATATGCTTAACGTTTCGATTTTTATATTTTCTTTCATAAAAAATCAAATCATGGGTGAATTTTCCCGAAGGACACTGCCCGCAAAAGGAATAGAAGAAGAATAAGAAGAAAAACTAATCAAATTATAGGTTAGGTATGTCAAATTATCCAAAATTTCAGTTCTGTGAACCCACCATAATTTGCCCAAATCGGCCAGCATTGTTGCACTTCCGGTCTCCTTGGTGGAACGGTTTTTTAGTATGTTAAATATAGCCTATATCCTATCCAGTAAAATAATACAGATCATACTATCTCTTTTTAAAAGGCACTCAGAGAGCTGCGCAGTGCGACCATTCTCCGTATAGTAAAAGAAAATCAAATTATGTGCTTTTCCACCATAGCATAAATTACATTTCTATACTGTTAACTCTTCTTCTTCTTCTTCTTCTTCTTCTTCTTCTTCTTCTTCTTTTATTCGTACTTTTACTTATAACAACCGCAGAACAGTGTAGGGTGATGGCTGACATTGCACTACTTCTTTTATTCGTACGATTACCTATAATAACATCGACGACAAGGTACATGTAATTATATGAAGCAAAGCATAATTGAGACCGAACGACCGATACAAGAGACCGCGGACAGCACTTTCAACACCGCGGTTTTGGAGCAGTGTTTTCTGCCTTGCTGTTTGTTGCGGTCATTTGCATCGGTCTCACATTCCTAAATTGTACCTTAATACGTCTCTTAGTGTAAAATGCATATGGCATCCTATTTTAGTGAGCATGGAGACCTTTTCTTCTCTAAACATTTTTAAAATCACATTAGTCCAAGCGATTGGTAAAGAATAAGGGGGTCTATTAGCAAAAGGTCGGAAAGAAATGAAATTTGGTGGGATGGTAGAAATGGGTCCTCTGATACTACACCTAAGTTTGCGACCTCGAGGGTTCGCCGCTCGAGGGATGGAGGGATGAAAACTCTGCGTCATGACGCTTTTCTGGAAATAGCGCCGTTGTGGTAAGTACTACCGAAAAAATAAATAAATAAAATATGTACAGGATAAAATTGTGCACAATTTTGATTTTTACATTTTTTTGTCTGCGACCAATAGTTCCCGCTCTACGATGCGCCAAAGTAGGGGGTTGATTTGCAATGTTCAACAAAATGAGAATTTACGCGCGGATTAAGACGAAGATCGGTATGAAACAATTATGTAATTTTTTTTTTCTAAAAGAGTAATGATTTCTGAGTCTGCAGATGCTCGATTTGATACATTTGGTCGTATATAATAAATGCTATGATGTTTTTTTTTAAGCGTGCCCCTGCATACTTCGATATAAAGATTTTGTAATTATCAGGATCTACAGTCAATATTTCCTTATTATTGTTGACCTTGCATTGCAAAAAAATCTTACGATGAACTGAAAGAATACCTAGAGTACCAACTTGCGCCTTTTCCGCTTTCAATGTTCACTGAAGAAGGTATGCGCAAGGTGGCAAAATCTTCACTCTGCAAAGCTTATGCGAATGTTACACCAGTCATAGAAGTTGACACACTTATACACGTTGTTGACGGTGACTTTTTGCTTCATCGTGTTGTGTGGGGGCGTCATAATTTATTTGCAATGATTTGTACGAATTACATTAACTATATTGCAAGGCATTATGAGTCGAATAGAATTGTTGCTTTTGATGGATATCCTGAAAGTGGGACAGAAACAAGTATGAAATCTGCTGAAAGAAACCGCCACTAGAAGCAGAACAGCAGCAGTACAGCACTGATATACTCATCGATGAATCCATGATTCCAACTGTATCGCAAGAACAATTTTTATCGAATTGCTTTAACAAAAGGCGCATCATCGCACTGCTGCAAACAAAGCTGAAATCACATAATTACAATGTTAAGCATGCGATCGAAGATGCGGATTCATTAATTGTGCAGACTACCATCGAACTTCCTCTTTTTCCTACGTATTCGTTAATGGAGAAGATCCATATTTGCTTGTGTTGTTGACTGCTAAAGCCAGAGAGATCCCGAATCTTTATTTGCGCAAGCCGGGTAGAGGGAAAAGGAGGATGTGTTCTATTCGCCTCAGAGTATACAATATAGCGATGCATTCAGTGGATGTGACACTACATCGACGTTGTTCAATCAAGGTAAAATTCGATTCCTCAAAACTTTGGAAAAAATCTAAGATTAAAAGACGCGATTCAGGTATTTGACGACCCCAATGCCGAATTAACTGAAGTCGTTGCCGCTGGCTAACTGTATATGTTGAGATAGTATGGTGCAGGAAGCGAACATCGCATGTTGGACCCTGTGGTATACGAACTTTGTTAAAAAATCATTCAATTGAGCGGCGCTGCCACCAATATCAGATGTGTGCCATCATCATTCATTGCGTACTTATTAGCTAGGAGTTCAGAAACATCCAGAAGATCATGGTTGGCGAAAAACAACTACAGGACTGGACGCAGTACGGATGGCAAAGGAACCAGCTCCAGATGTTTTACTTAAGAGCATCTCATGCAGATGCAAGAAAGGTTATGGATCTGCTTGTGGTTGCCGTAAAATAGGATTGAAATATTCGATTCTGTGTTTATGCTGTACTGGGATGTCCTGCGAAATCATTCCGGATCAGATTGCGTTAGACGACGACAATACAAAAGATAAAAGTTGAAGGTGGTAGCCATGTGTGAGTTATATGTTCAAAAAAGAGGTAAATAAAACAAGGGTGGTCCTTAAGATCTCACAAGAGTAATTTAATACGACCGGTTTCGAGGAGATCAGATCCTCATCATCAGGTATGGTCTAAAATAGATAGGTAAAAACGAATGAGCTCATAACTAATAAAGTGGGTTTAAAAAATTATAAAAGGTATCAAATATCAAGAACTCACCCGTATTACTCATCTATTTAAGACTAAGCTTAGAGATTATCACAGGGTCGGTGTAAAAAACAAGTATGCGAGTATTTTTTAAGAAATGCATAAAAACAGTAGTTGCAACAAAAAGTTAATGTCAAAACACAAGTAGGTCTAAAACTATTAGATATTATTATTATTAGATATTATTAGATATTATTATAGTTTTAGACCTACTTGTGTTTTGACATTAACTTTTTGTTGCAACTACTGTTTTTATGCATTTCTTAAAAAATACTCGCATACTTGTTTTTTACACCGACCCTGTGATAATCTTTAAGCTTAGTCTTAAATAGATGAGTAATACGGGTGAGTTCTTGATATTTGATACCTTTTATAATTTTTTAAACCCACTTTATTAGTTATGAGCTCATTCGTTTTTACCTATCTATTTTAGACCATACCTGATGATGAGGATCTGATCTCCTCGAAACCGGTCGTATTAAATTACTCTTGTGAGATCTTAAGGACCACCCTTGTTTTATTTACCTCTTTTTTGAATACAAAAGATGCCGTAAACGTTCACGATCAGTTACAGGACGATGAGAACCAAACATACAACGCCGAGTTTGACGAATAAATCCAAATATCGACTGTGAAATAGGTCTCTTGGGAATACCACGTTAAAAAAAAACGCGCTGATCAACTCTATCTCAGGGCTTGTGTAGAAAAGTGTTCAAAATGATACTTTCTTGT